ACAAGCGCAAGGGGCTGGTGTACATCCAGCAGACGGACGACTCCCTCATTCACTTCTGCTGGAAGGACCGGACGTCGGGCAGCGTGGAGGACGTGAGTGCCGCGCCCGGGAGCTGCCCGGGGCCTGGGGGGACTGCGGGCCCCGGGAGCTGCGCGCGCCTCGGCCCAGCGCCGCTTGGTTTTCGGCATCAGTTGTCTGTCCTGCGCCAGCAGGTCGCGGCTGGCCTGCCCACGCCTCCCGGGTGAAACGGCGTGGATGCTGGAGATGCTTACAGATAGCTGCCCCGTGAAGGAAAAGCGACAAAGGGCGCTTTGGGTGGGTGGTGACAGGGGCCTGGAGCGTGGGACCGGAGCGTGGCCCTACCGTGCGCGGGGTCCCAAGAGACCCGCAGCCCACCTGCTCTGTCCCGAGCGGCTGCCCTGTGCCAGCCCCACTTGCGCTCTGCGCTGGCGGGGGTGGGTCTCTGCAGAGAACCCAGGTGAGGGCCCCCTCAGGGTGCCACGTATCCAAGGGTTCGGGAGCAGTGAGCCTGTTTGTGCCATGGTCCCTCTTCCCTGCCCTCGTGTCTTCGTAGGACTTGATCATCTTCCCTGACGACTGTGAGTTCAAGCGAGTGCCCCAGTGCCCCAGCGGGAGGGTCTACGTGCTCAAGTTCAAGGCGGGATCCAAGCGGCTCTTCTTCTGGATGCAGGTGGGGGGAGGGGGTGTTTGTTTTCTCCGTGTCGGTTGGAAGGTTGTTGGGGAAAATGAGCCCCTAACGAGCCGCTTCCTTGCGGGCTTGTGACATCACATGCAGGTGTGTCATCTGCCTAGATGGGGACTTGGCCACTGCATGTATGTGTTTGTGGTTGTGACAGTGCCCCCAGAGGCTGACACACAAGCCCTCCGCCAGCATTAGGGCAGGCGGCCACGTCCTGGATAAGGCCAGGGAAGAGGCTGTTTCCACTTTGGGGACCCAGTGGTCTGTCTCAACACAGCTCTGAAGCAGCCAGTGCCAATAAAACTTTATTTACAGTGATGTTCGGGGGCCGGGCTGCCATCCCAGTGCACAGTGTGTCTGTCCTCAGCTTTGCCTGTAGAAGCCGTTAAACGCGATGACCTTCCACACTTCCGACTCTTTCCGGTTTTGCCCTGGTTGGCCGTCTGCCTCTCACGTTCCTTGCGCTGTCCCCTGGGCCATGCAGCGTGCACGGTGGGGGCTAGTTGGCTGCTGGCTCCGCCTTGCGGCTCTGGAGGAGACTCCCTGGTGGCCCCCCACCACGTGCTGTGTCCCATCAGCCTCAGTGTTCTCTGGGCTCTGACTGTGTGTCCCTGAAGGGTCACTCTGCTAAAAGGCAGCACTGGCGGGCACGTGGGTTGGGACGAGCCGAGGTGGGGAGGAGGGGAGCAGGGCTTTTACTGTGCGAGCTTTCACACGTGCCTGGAAAGCCGGAGCTGGAGTAGCCCGGTGACCTCATGTGGCCACGGGCAGCCTTGGGCCCCTTGGTGTGAGCAGCAGCCACGGCCGTGGGGTGGGGCTGGCCCGGGACCTGGCCGTTGTGTCACTGTCCTCCAGGAGCCGAAGACGGACCAGGACGAGGAGCACTGTCGGAAGGTCAACGAGTACCTGAACAACCCCCCGATGCCCGGTGCACTGGGGACCAGCGGCAGCAGTGGCCACGAGCTCTCTGCGCTCGGCGGTAACGGCCCACCCTGTGCTGGGCTGCTTGGGTGGTCTCAGTGTGGTGGGGCAGGCGCTGGTTGGTGTTGGTGGAGGTGGAGAGTTGGAAGTAGATGCACCTCCTTGGGTTGCGGGTTGGCCCAAGTCTTCACTGGCCGGCGTTTCTGTTTTTTTGCCTGTCTCCTTCCAGGGGAGATGGATTGGGTGGGGTGCGCTGTCGGCCACACTGAGCCCACCCGTCTTTTGGGGGGACCTGGTTCCAGGGGGACCTGGTGGGTGTGCAGGATGTGGTCAGCACTTCCCCTCTCTGTCTCTCCTTCTCTTATTTTCTCTGAAGGGGGTTGTGAGGTGGGCACACAGGTAGGGGTAGGTGCACTAGCAACCCCCCCCACGGGAAGGTGGCCTGCAGAGCTGGATGGGTGGCGGCTGGGGGGCTCCCGGGCAGGGGGCGGGGATGCACTGGGCACCTTTCTCTCCCTGCCTAGGGGAGGGCAGCCTGCAGAGCTGGTTGGGTCGGGGTGGGGGGCTCCCGGGCGGGGGGGGACGCACTGGGCACCTTTTTCTCTCCCTGCCTAGGGTAGGGCGGCCTGCGGAGCTGGCCGGGTCGGGGTGGGGGGCTCCCACGGGGTGGGTGCACTGAGCACCTCCCCCCCCCCAGGTGAGGGCGGCCTGCAGAGCCTGCTGGGTAACATGAGCCACAGCCAGCTGATGCAGCTGATCGGACCAGCCGGCCTGGGAGGACTGGGTGAGTCACCTGCCGCCATGTGGACGCCCTGCGCCGGGTGGGGTTGCTCCCTGGTTCTGTTGAAGGGATGCTTCGGACCCGGGGCAGAAGCTGGGGGGCTGGCTGAGGCACCGGGCTTGAGGACTGGACCACCCCGGCTCCCATGGGCAGGTTGGCCCTCCCAGCCTCGTGCCTGGGCAGAGGGAGGTTTGCTCGGGCTGAGTGTGTGACTGGCGGAGGGGTGGGAACAGGATGATGAGGCTGTGTGGAAACGTACAGAGCCCTGCAACCTGGGCTGCTGCTGCCCTGCTCCCCTCGGGCCACTGCGTTCACCCACAGGTCTGGGCACCGCCTGGCTTGGCTCCTCCCCTGCTCACTACCCGCCCTGGTGCTGGAAGGCCTGCTCCTCTGGCTGGGGGCCGGCGTGCCTGCATGCCTGCCCTTCCCTGGGCACCTGCTTATCTGTTCCTTGTAGGTGGGCTTGGCGCCCTGACCGGGCCGGGCCTGGCCAGTCTGCTAGGCAGTGGAGGGCCTCCGGCCAGCAGCTCGTCATCCAGGTGAGCCCAGGCCTCTCCCCGCCTCTCCCCACACACCCACCCTTCCCCAAGGAAGGTCCCCCCAAGGTCTGGGGCGGGGTACAAGCGTGTGGATGCTTGGTAGGCTGTGCCTTCCAGGCATCCTGCTCAGATGCAGCGGTGCTCTCTGCATGCCTCCCGCCAGCTCCCGGAGCCAGTCAGCCGCCGTCACCCCGTCCTCCACCACCTCCTCCACTCGCCCCACCCCAGCCCCTTCTGCACCAGCAGCCGCCTCTGCGAGCAGCCCGAGCCCCGCGCCCAGTTCAGGTGACGGAGCCAGCACGGCAGCCAGCCCGACCCAGCCCATCCAGCTCAGCGACCTGCAGAGCATCTTGGCGACCATGAACGTGCCGGCAGGGACAGGCGGCAGCCAGCAAGGTAGAGGTGTACGTGCCGGCAGCCCTGCCTGTACCCGGCGCACGGCCAGCACATCTGTGGGCCCACACAGCCTGATGTTTGCTGCCCGTTGCCTCTGCCTATCTGATCGTGCGGCCTGGAGGCTGGCTCTGTCTGTCGTGGGGAGGGGTCCAGGCCGGCATGCGGCCACCGACCACCGTGTCTGCCTCCTAGTTGACCTGGCCAGTGTGCTCACGCCTGAGATCATGGCTCCCATCCTGGCCAACGCCGACGTCCAGGAGCGCTTACTGCCCTACCTTCCCTCGGGGGAGTCGCTGCCCCAGACGGCAGAGGAGATCCAGAACACACTGACCTCACCTCAGTTCCAGCAGGTGACACGGCGGGTGGTGGCCCTCACTGCGGCCAGGGGTGGTGAGCAGGGACCGAGGAAGGGCTAGCTCCGACTCTGTGGTTCTCCCTGCAGGCCCTGGGCATGTTCAGTGCGGCCTTGGCCTCGGGGCAGCTGGGCCCCCTCATGTACCAGTTTGGTCTGCCCGCGGAGGCCGTGGAGGCCGCCAACAAGGGTGGTGAGTACCCGTGCCGCCGCCACGTCCCCGCGGGGCCTGGTGGTCTCGCAGGCGGGGATGCCCGTTGTGTCTGTGTGTGGGGTTAGCCGTGTTGGAGAGCTGGGAGGAGCTGCCTTGCGTTTTAAATGCTGTGTAGATGTGGAAGCATTTGCCAAAGCCATGCAGAGCAGCGCCAAGTCGGAGCCGAAGGAGGGCGACACGAAAGACAAGAAGGACGACGAGGAGGACATGAGCTTGGACTAGGGTCCGTGTCCCCGACGGAAGGGGCTTCTGTGGCTAGGGCTTCAGTAGTGGCGTTGGTTGACTCGAGACCTGCGTACCTGCTTGAACACCCTCAATAAAGTCTGTCTTTCACGTGCTGGCTCGGGTCCTGTGTGTGGGCTGGAGTGCCCCCTCCAGCCCGTCCCCCTGGCCTGAGGAGGCCCTAGCTCCCTGGGTGTCAGCACCAGCAGCAGGGCACTACGGTACAGGGCTGGCTCCAGGTACCCGTCTGGGGTGGCTCAGTAGGACAGAGCGGGGCTGGAAGACCCTCCGGCCACAGCCAGCCACACCAGCCCCCCAGCGTCTGTTCGGACTGCGCTTAGAGTCAACACTTGGTTGAACCAACAGGTTATTTTTAATTTTCTTTTTATAAAGCAAGACCCAGTGATGCACAGCCCCCAGGACCTTCAGAATCGGTGGAAGAAAAAGCTCAGTTAAGAAATGAGGGACAGGAAGGACAGAACCCCATCTTACAGCCTTTCACCTTCTCCACTGAAAACATTGGTCATAATTTAAACTATTTCTGGAGATAAAATCCGTCACCAGGGTCGGGACAGGACAAGTACGTTTGTTGGCCACCAAGCCAGCCACCCCTCTCTGCCAGCAGGGCCTGGGTGGCTGCTGTGGCACGTGGGGGAGACAGGCTCATTCCGGGATCCTGCTGGGGGCTGCTGCACTATGTGACCGGGCAGCCGCCGGCCCACACAGACCCCTGGATGCTTAGGGAACGCGTCACGCTGACGGGTGCCCCGTTGACCTGCAGATCCCTCATGCAGCCGCGGTAGGCTGGGGGCCCGGTGGTGGTGCCCATGAGCTCTGGGGTGCAAGGAGAGGAAGGCTGGCTGGTGGGGAGAACGGGGCCATCTGCCCGTGGGTCCCCGACCTGGGCTGCCCCCTCGCTCGGGGCCATGGCCACACTCACCGGGCAGGTTCCCCAGGTGCAGAAGTGTGAGGGCACTGGTAGAGGCCGCCAGTGCAGGGCCCAGGGTATGATTGCTCCTGGCATCCACCGCCAGCCGGATCCCAGACCCGCCCCAGGTCACTGTGGGCACAGGTTCCTTGGGGCTCAGAGTGCGCCCAGCCCACCCCGTGCCCTGCACCAGCATTGAAGTGTTGAGGGAGGCTGTCGTGTGCTCCCCCACCCCTGCCGTGGAGGTCCCATCCCACTCCTGGCCCCGCCTTGCAGAGGAGGGGCTGGCTTACCTGTGAGACGATGCCACTGTCCGTCGCACAGGACTGTGGGATGTGTCAGCAGAGTGGAAAACTCGCCTGTCCCACTGTCCCCCCAAAGCACAACCTGTGGCGGGGGAGTGAGCGTGGGAAAAGTCAAGCCAGCCTGCCCATCTGAGGCCATGGCCTAGGAGTGTGTGCCCACCAGCTCACCTCCTTCTCCAACACCTGCAACTGCAGGTAGGGGGGTGTCTGCACCTGGCCCAGGTGGAAGACCAGGCCGCTGGTTGCCTGGGGCCGTACCTCCAGCTCCAGGCCCAGCTCGGGCTCCAGGACCAACGGGAGGGCTGCAGAGACCGTGGGGGGTGAGGGGAGAGGAAGGCCGGGCCCAGGGCCCAACCCAGAGCCCCCCAGGATGCAACTAGGACCCTCCTTCCTGGGCGCTATCCCAGCCCACTGTGCTAAGGGCATCCAGGGCGACGGAGGGGTTCCGGTGGCCACAGACCTAGAGTGACGACACCCCCACTGCCAGCAAAGAACAAGCCTGCCTCCAGGGGGCCTGAATAGCAGGGTGTGACCCCTGTCATCCGTGTGGGGGACCCCAGCAGCTGCCCGTTCCACCTTAGCCTCTTCACACAGCCACTGAACCCCAAGCCGCCGAGGGCCACCTGGGGAGCAGAGGGACAGAAGGGTCAGGCTCCGGGGCTGCCTAGAAGGCACAGCCCTGTGGGTGGATGAGTGGGTGGGCCGGGCAGAGCTCTCACCGGGAGCTGGGGGCTGTGGCCACCAGGTGGGAGGCCCCCCACAAAAAGGGTGCCAGGCTGGGGGCCCTGTGTGCCCTGGTGCTGGTGGTGGGGCCCTTTCTGGCCCCAGACCCGGGTCCTGTCTGTCACCAGCTGGATCCTGTTCCGGTCCCAGCGCACAGACACCTGCAGTGGGGATGGGAGGGCAAGCGTCAAGGGACCCAGACCCCGCCCAGCCCTCTCTGGAGCTCCTCCAGCCCCTCCCCAGCCCCTCACCGTGTGCCACCGGCCAGCCTGTACCCAGCCCCTCACCGTGTGCCACCGGCCAGCCTGTAACCGCTGGTGGCTCTGCACATGGAGCCGGGGCCCGGCGCCCTCTGTCTGTGCAACCAAGTGTCCGTGGTTCAGAAAAAGTGCCAGGGAGGAGCTGCTGGGTGTCAGGGGGGTAGTGAGCAGCAGGAGGCCATGTGGGGCACGCGGCCGTATGAGCATCGAGACTTGGGACCTGGGAGCCAGCGGGGGTGTCAGCAGGCAGTGCCACCCCCAACCCTATCCCCCACTCCCCCTGCCTGCTTCACCAATTCCCCAGCCTGTGCCTGCCCCAGTCCACTGTACCTGCCCCGGCCTGGCCCTGACCAGGCTCTGTGGGGCACTGCAAACTCCAAGTGGCTGGACAGGGCCCCTCCAAATTGATAGGCATCTTGGAGGCTCTGGAGAGATGCAGGCAGCCTGCAAAGAGGGTCCTGGCCAGGGTGGCGGCTGCGGCGGGAGGCCTGGGGGGACAGGAGTGATGCACGGAGGGGCTGCCTGGGCAGCCCCTTGCCTGCCCACCACTACAGCCCAGGACTCTGCCCACCTTCTGTACTGGGGCCCGCAATCCTGGCGGCCCTGTCCTCAGAGTCTGGTCCTGAGGGGCTGGTGTGCAGCCGGTGGTCACATTGACAGCGCCTACGTTCTGTTGCAGGTCAAACACACGCTGTGGCCCCAAGAGCCTGTAGTGGGTGCAGGGTCAGAGCTGGAGACAGCTCTGCCTGGACCCACCCCCTACGCCCACCATCTGACTGCCCCCCATCCACCTGGCTCACCGCCGAACAAAGACATTGCTGATGCAGCCACTGAAGTTCCGAAAGGAACCGGACTCGGGCAAGCCTCCCAGAAGGAGCCGCGGGGACCCGTCACGCTGTGGCTGGAGCCCGGGGCGTGGCCGCTGGTGGGGCGTCATCTGCTGCAGCTGGTCATCCACGTAGAGCCAGAGCCTGCGTGAGGGGCCGTGAGTCCCTGCCCAGCCCAGCCTCCCGCCCACCAGAGCCAGACCCTCCCTGAGCAGGGCCGTGCGAGTCCCTTCCTGCCACCCTCCGCCCACAGATGACGGGAGAGGCCTTGCAGGGCCCTCACCCGGTGGCATTGCTGTAGAAGGTGACATAGTGGGGGGCTCCGTCGGCGAAGGCCCCCCGAGTTTTCACCTCGGTCCTCAGAAGCTGGAGTGTCACGTGGCCCTGCTGCAGGGACACTTGGCACAGCCCATCCTGGGGACAATGGCCAGGTCAGCGGGCCGGGCCACCGCAGGCCCCGGACTGCCACTGCGGCAGGTGGGGCTCAGGGTCTGGGTGGGGACGGTCAGACTCGGGAGGGGCGGTCGGACCCGGGGCGCGCTGGGGGCGGGGCAGTCGCACCGGGGAGGCTCGGTAGAAGAGCAGGCCGCTGTCCTGGGTGCTGCGGAAGCCAAAGCCAGAGTAGACATCACCCGAGAGAGACGCCACATCCGTGAGCTCCAGGGGCAGGAAGCCGTGGCCGTGGAAGGTCATGGCCCGTTCCACCTGCGGGGCGGGACGGCTGAGTGTCCCTCCAGCCTGGAAGGGCCCAGCCTGGGGGGAAGGCCCTGAGGACAGGGGCAGGGCAGGCTCACCAGGAGGTCGGCTGTGCAGCCAGCACTGATGCCCGTGGTGTTGAGCCTCTTCAGGTCGACGTACTTGCCCAGGGCTTTGATGCCCTTAACGCAGCCGCGGATGGAGCCTCCAGAGGGGAAGAGCTGTCGCAGGCTGGTGCGGGCCAGGGGCAGGAGGGGTCAGGGCAGGGGTTGGGGTCAGAGCAGTGGTACAGGGTCAGGGTTGGGGTCAGGGGCAGGGCAGGGGTCAGGAGTCAGGGGCAGGGTGGGGGTCAGAGCAGTGGTGTGGGGTCAGGGTGGGGGTCAGGGCAGTAGTGCAGGGTCAGGGTGGGGTTCAGGGCGGGCTCAGGGCAGTGGTGTGGGGTCAGGGTGGGGGTCAGAGCAGGGGTCGGGGTCAGGGAAAGGGTCAGGGCGGGGTTAGGAGTCAGGGGCAAGGAGGGGGTCAGAGCAGTGGTACAGGGTCAGGGCGGGGTCAGAGCAGCGGTGTGGGGTCAGGGTGCGCGGTTAGGGTGGGGGTCAGGGCAGTGGTGCCAGGTCAGGGCGGGTCAGGACAGGATGTGCCTCCACACCCCCGCTCGCCCACCCGCCCCGCAGCAGCCGGCCGTGGTGGCAGCCAGGGCTTGCCTCACCTTGAGGGCAGCAGGCCTGGTGGCACCCCCCCCAGGTAGTAGGCCTCGGCATGCTCCAGAGAGTTTTCCTGATCCACACTGAACACCGTGACCCTCTCCACACGCACCAGCACCCGCTTGCGGGCCCCACCAAGCAGGAACACCTGGACCTGGGTGGGACCGTCCGGGGCCGTCAGGGCAGGCGGCGGGGGTTCTGCCCCCAGCTACCAGCTGCCACCCGCTGGCCGGGCCTCACCGCCTTGCTAGCCGCAGTCAGTGTCGGCGGGGACGACAGGATCGGGGTGGCCACCTTCAGGCCTGCACCAAAGTCATAGAGGAGCAGCAGGCGGCCCTCACGGACGGCCAGGCATAGGAACTGGTCCTGGGGACAGAGCATGGTCAGTGCAGAAGGGGGCAGGGGTGGGGGGAGGACAGGGCTGAGGTGGAGAGCGTTCAGCACATCTTTCCTGCTCACTGCCCCCCGCCCCACTGGCTCCCCTCCAAGCATTGGCACAGGGCTACAGGTCCTAGTGTAGAGGATGGGGACCACATAGGGTGTGGTGGGGGCAGGGTCAGCCCAGGGAGGGCGGGGTCAGCCCAGGGTAGGCAGGGTCAGCCCAGGGAGGGCGGGGTCAGCCCAGGGTGGGCGGGGTCAGCCCAGGGAGGGCGGGCTCAGCCCACGTGGGGTTAGCATGGGGGGTGGTGCGGGTGTGCCTGGTGCTGGAGGAAGAAGACCACGCCATTGGAGGACACCAGCCGCAACTCCTGGTCGAAGCGCTTGGTGTGGCTGATCTGGCTTTCGAAGCTGATGCGGGCAAAGCCGGAGCCATCCAGGTAGGAGCCGTCGGTGAGCCAGGGGTCACCCGTTGACTTGGAGCTGCGAGTCAGAGGTCAGAGGTCAGCAGGTGGTGGGAGGGCCAATGAGGAGAGCAGGGAGGGCTGGCTGGGCCCACGCACCGAGCACAGGGCTTGTCGATGGCCGTGTCCAGCCGGAAGGTCCTCTCGAAGTTGTACAGGCTGATCACCTCCTCGTTCAGTGTGCCCAGCTCAATGCAGCCGCGGTAGCCAGGGACACGGAGGGGTGGTGGGGGCTGTGGGCACCACACATGGTCAGGAGCAGCACACGCAGAGGGCCCTCCCCACCCAGGGCAGGCCACAGGGACGAGAGTTCAGACTGCAGCGGGAGTGACTGCAGGTAGACACCAGGAAGGACTTCCTGGGGCACAGGAGGAGGGCTAATCCCTAAGCCATGCCTGGCGGGCTCACCGTAAAGTTGCCAGGGTAGCCACCCACGTAGAAGACAAAGTCATCAGGCTGCAGGCTGAGCAGCCCCTCGGCCCCGGGGGCCACTGTGTCACCCTTGGTCTCATGGACCATCTGCTTTTCCACCGTGATGGACATGTGGCCGTACTGGAGGGTCCTGAGGGCAAAGGCAGGGTGGTGAGAGGTGCAGGGCTGCCCTGGAGCCCAGGGAGAAAGGCAGGGCTGCGAGGGGATGGGATGGGCAGGTGGCGGCAGGCAGGGCCAAGCACGGTGCAGGTGGCGGCCGACCTGTCGATACTGACGGCTGCAAACTGTTCCCCAATGTCCTCGTCGATGCTGAGGACCGTGGGGCCTGCCTCCCCAAGTCGGTACACCCAGTGCACCTTCTGGTCGCGCAGGGCCACGCCCATGTAGTCACCAGTGGCCTGTGGGGTGGGGGGACTCAGTGAAGTGCAGACCAGGGCACCAGCCAGCTCCACCCTGAGAGCGCACTGCCCTGTGGTACCTGGCGACTGCCCATATACAGCACGAAGTGGTCCCCGGCAGTGTGGCCGGGAGCCGGCTCTGGGCTCTGCAGGTAGAACTTGAGGGCAGTGTAGGCGGCGAGGTCGGCCAGGTCCCGTGGGGTGCGCAGCTGTACCCCGGAGCGCCCGTTGAATTTCATGGACACCTTGACCTGGGTTGGAATACACGAGCCCATCAGCGCCCTCCAGGGGCTACGCTCACCTGCTGGTTCCCAGACACAAACCCCATCATCCACCAGGATCTGCACCCCCCCTGGGGTCCATGCCCACCTTGCTGGCCGCACCCCGGGCCTGGGCAATGAGCTGGCGCACGCGGGCGATGCTGGCAGACAGGGCCAGGCTGGCGTTGTGGCCACCCCGGCCTTCGAGCAGGGTCAGCTTGGCCAGTAGCTGTGGCAGTGTCTTCTCCAGGGTGGACACTGCAGGGCGGGAGGTGGCCCCGAGAATGCAGCTGTCCACCTCCCCACGCCCGGGACCCAGGAGTGTGGCCGGACCCCCATGCAGAGCCCCTGAGGGCAGCCGCCCAGTGAGGAAGAGGGTCAACACAGTGCTCACCCGAGCGGCCAGCGTCACGCACTGCCTCATCCAGGTCCTGGCCCCGCAGACCCCCGAACTGGCCCTGCCACTGATCCAGGTTGTCCCGCATGCCCTGAAGCCGGGACTGGACACGCGCAGCCGTGTCCTGGGCCTCAGCAGCCACGGCCTTCGCATGGGCAATCTTCTCGCTCGTTGCGTCTGTGGTGGGCACAGGGTGCCTTTGTGGGGGTCCTTGCGCGCTGTTCTCCATGTCCCCAAACCCCCTCCAGGTGCCCTCCTCATTGTGGAGACGGCACCAGCTCTCAGGCCAAACCCGGGGGCCACGCTGGGCACCCCCTGCCCCTCACCTCCGGCCACGGCCCTCCTGTGAACCTGCCCCGGCACCTCTTCCCCAGCCCTTCCCCAGCCTCAGAGACCCCAATGTGGGTGTGAAAAGCACAGTCCAACCACACCTCTCTTTTGCCAGCACCTTCCTCACCCCAGCCACTTCACTCTGGCCACGTGGCCGCCTGGTCCCCAGCGCCCACCCTCCCACACCAAAGGCGGTCCTTTCTTGTCCAGAGCCAGCCCCGACCACCCAGATCCAAGCTGTCCACGGCCCCGCTTCGCTTCCCAGAACACTCCTGTGGCCGTCCAGCAACTGTCATGTCTCCGACCACACCCATGTCTTTTAGTCACACCCACGGCCTTTAGTCTGTGTTTCAGGCTGGGCCCTGGCACCTCACCCGTGCTGCCCAACGTGGTACCATGGGCCTAGGAGCAAGTCACAGTCAAGTCTGCGGAGGCTGGGCACGTGTCTGTTCATGTCCTTGGCTGTGTGCTCACAATGCACACGCTCAGTGGCTGCTGTAGCCATCAGCTCTGCCCGCATGGGTGCGAACACACCCACACTGCTAGGCCCTCCTGGACGGCGTCCGGAAGTGCACAGCGGGCCAGGGGCCGGGCCTCCTGCGGCCCTAGTGGGGGTGGGAAGGGAGATGGGGCTCCATACCTGTGTCCATGGCCAACATGGCCTGTGCGTCACGGATCTGTGTCACCAGCTGGTCCTTCCTGGCACGGGCGTCTTGGAGCTGGGTCCCAGTGCCCTGCAGGGCGGCCCACACTGTGGGGGCATGGGGCTCACTTAGAGAGGCCTGCCCACATGCAAGGGCACCACGTATAGAGAGATGAGCAGATGGACAGAAACACGGGTCCGGCTCAGCTTAGCGCAAACACGTCCTCCCTGACGTCCCTGAGTACTGCTGTCTCCTCCCGTTTTATGGACAAGAAAACGCAGGATTTGCCACAGGTTTCTGCTCTGACCGGCCTCCACCCAGCCGGCACTCACCGCGGCCCAGCTGCCGCTGCTGGCCCAGGCTGGCCTCTTCCAGGACACTGCTGTTGGCCCGCAGCTCACGGGCTCGGGCTCCTAGGCCCTGCTGTACCACCGTCTGTGGACACATGGACAAGCTGTCCTCACTCCCTGCAGCCTGTGCAGAGCGGGCAGGGGCGGGGCACCTGGGAGCTGGGGACTCACCGCCCAGGCCTGGCTGGCCTCGAGCAGGGCGTGTCCGGCGGCCCCATCAGCAGCCTGCACTGCCCGCAGGATGCTAGCGTAGGCGTCGGAGGCCGCGATGGCCCGCTGGATGACACGGTCCTGGTTGATGCCACGGATGATGCTGCGGTGGAAGCAGAGGTTAGAGGGACGTGGGGACGATCGGGCGTCCCCTGTCTGGCCCACGGCCTCTGCCACTCTCACGCCCCTCACAGCCAGCAGCCTGTGGACTCAGCCTCAGAGCCCTTGCCTCTACGTCCCGCCACCGGCTGGGCCAATGCAGGCCCGCCTTCCAGCAGTGCCAGGAGTGGCCTGGCTCCTCCTAAGACCAGGCCTCCCCCAGGAGCCCTGTGGACCGACTAAACGTGGCAGGACCTGGGCTGCGTCCTCGGCCCCCACACCTGGAGAGGTTGTGCGCCAGCTGGCCCAGCCGCTGTGCGTGGGCCTCAGCGGCCTCCACCACGTCCACCTGGCTGCTGGCGGGGGAGAAGGTCTGCATCTTCTCTAGCAGTGGGGTCCGTGCCCCGTCCAGGCTGGCGGCCAGGCGCTCATACTCCTGGGTGGACAGGCAGTGGGCTGGCTGCAGTGGGGCCTCAGGCATCCCCATGCTGCCCACCTGGTCTGGCCCCCATCAGACACCCGGGTGTGGTCCTGGGCGCCTGGCGGGGGGCAGCAGGAACGGGATGCTCACCTCCTTAGCCTCGTCCATGCCCCGCAGGAGCCCTGAGACCCGGGCCAGGGTGTCCCTGGCAGCCTGCAGGGTGGCCTGCACGGCTCCGTTGTCCTGGGACAGCGCCTGCCTTTGTTGCTGGAGACAGATGTGGGGGGAGGGGGGTGAGGGCAGTGAGGTGGGGAGGGACAGCAGGGCTCCAGAGGTGATGGGGGTGAGAATGCGATGAACCCAAGGCTGTGGCAGGGAAGGGGGGCGACGGGAGGAGGGAGAGGCCAGGGGCCACTGCCCGCCTGCACGTCGGTGCCCTCACCAAGGCTTCCTCCAGTCGCTCCTGGTTTCGGCTGTTGAGCCCCTCCGCCTCACTGACGGTCCCCACTGCCCGGTTCAGGGCCTCTCGCAGGTCCATGAGGCCAGCCTCATGCTGGGCCAGCTGGTTGCGGGCGTGGGCGGCCAGCGCCTGGTTTCCCTCCCAGAGGCTGGTCAGCTGCTCTCGCACGTGGGCCAGCACTGCACAGGACCCGAGGTGGGAGGGGGAGTACTGAGGCGGCCCCTGCCCAGCCCCCCCGTGGTCCCCAACAGCCCCTGGGGGCCCCTCCACCCTCTGCCAGCCCCTGACGTCTCCTCACCTCTCTGAGCCTCATCCAGCTCAGCCTCAGCCACTGCCCGCGGGGCCCCCAGGTCCCGCGTCTGCATCTCCTTAAGTAGCCTCTGCACCTCGGCCAGCGTCTGACGCAGCTGCTCGCCCGATGGGGCCGAGGCATTTGCTGGCAACAGGCGGTCTGTCTGGGCCGCGAGCTCTGCGGGTGGGAGGGGAGGGAAGGGTCCTTGGACCCTCTGCCTGCTGGCTGCCAAGCCCAAGACCCTCTCGGTTCCCAATCACAAACCTGAGGCCACCTGGACACCCCCACACCCAGCCCCATCATCCAGGTGGAAATATCTAAGTGGCCGGTTCTTCTAGGAGCCACAGTGTCCTAGGGCAGGGGGCTAGCCCACCACAGGGACCACAGGCCCTTGCTTCCCCCCACCAGACGCCCAAACCCAGCCAAGGGTCCCAGGGAGCCCGTGCCCTGCCCCTCAGCCAGCCCCTACCGCTCAGGGTTCCAGCCACTGCCTGGACGGCAGTCAGGAGTGCCTGCACCCGGCCCTGCATGGTCTCAGCATCGCCCAGGAGCCAGCCCGCCTTCTCCCGGACTCCCGCTGCCTGCGGACAGAACGAGGTCCCTCAGCACTGAGCCCCAAGGGCCGCAGAGGTGCAAGGCCAGCCGGGGGCAGTGTGGGCCTGCGGGAGGGGTGTGCATGCCGGGACATGTGGGGGGGGGTGTTCCTGGGAGGGTCCCCTAGGGTGGTGTCTCCCGGGGGTCCTGCCTGGCCGCCCAGACGCTGCGTGTCCTGTGCGAGGCTCCCGCTCTGCCGCTCCAGCCACTCCAGCCGCTGCGAGGTCTCGTGGCGTGGGCCAGAGAAGCTGTGGAGCTGGTCCTGGGGGAGAGGGCGGTGAGGCCTGGGGCAGTGGGCAGGGACCTAGGGCCCCAGCCCCGGGGCTGGGGGGACAGGCAGCGAGGGCCTCTGGGGGTGGGGTGGCACCTGGAGGTCAGTGATGGAGGTGTTCAGCTCGTGCAGCCGGGCCCAGACCACAGAGCTCGCGTTCACGCCTCGCAGCTGCTCTCTGATGGCGGGCAGGAGGGCGCCAGCCCGCTCCAAGTCGTCCAGGAGCAGGACCACACAGTGGTCACACACTGCAGGCAGTGGGGTGGGTCAGCACAAGGTCAGGTGGGGCCACAGGTCAGCGTGAGGGTCACAGGGGTCAGCAGGGGGTCGTGGGGTTGGCACAGGGTCACCGGTCAGCAGGAGGTCACAGGGGTCAACAGGGGGTCGTGGGGTTGGCACAGGGTCACCGATCAGCAGGAGGTCATGGAGTCAGCACAGGGTCACAGGTTAACATGGGGGCCGCAGGTCAGCGTGAGGGTCGTGGGGGTTAGCAGGGCGTCATGGGGTCTGCACAGGGTCACAGGTCAGCATGGGGTCATGTGATCAGCAGGGGGGTCCCAGGGACAGCATGGGCTCATGGTGTCAGCACAGGGTCACAGTGGCAGTGTGGGGTCACAGGGTCAGCATGGGGTCAGTGTAGCGGGGAGAGGTCAGCTGGGTCACTGCAGTCATAGAGACAGCACAGAGATCCGAGGAGTCTAAGGTCAGAGACTAAGGAAGGTCCTAGGTCAGAGCAGAAGGATGGGGCCAGTCAGGGAAATGGTGTCAGCATGGGGGGTGGGTCCAGGGGAGTGTTAGCGGGTCAGCCAGGCTCGTGGGCTGAGTTGGGGGTCACAGACCAGCCAGGGAGAGGGTGTGGTTGGGGGAGGGACCCAGACTGATAGGCTCCCGGGGCTGGCATGGTTCTGTGGGGAGGGCAGGTCACAGCTGGCACAGGGGCACCCAGCTAGGAGGGAGGTGACACGGGTCAGCACAGGGATACTGGGTCAACTGCAAAGTCAAGAGGAATCTGGGGTGGAGGCTGCCCCCGTGTGTGGAGGCCGGGAGATCAGCACAAGTGGGGGGGGGTCAGAAAGGTGCAGGGAGGAGTAGGCAGCTGGGGTTAGTGTGGGCACCAACCTCAGCATGGGGGTCGGAGGCTCAGTGTGACAATGTGGGGGCCGTGGGGTCCCTCAGCGAATGGAAGGGGGAACTTGGGGTCAGGGATCACTGTGCGAGGGAGAGTGTGGGCTCCCAGGTGGGGTCAGTGGGCTAGGGCCCCTGCAGGAGGGCGCTGGGTGAGACCACGTGGCCAGGCACACCTTCACAGTGGACGCCACGGTTTCCCGGCCCACCGGGCACGGGCACCTGATGGTGGTGGCTACAGGTGTCACACCGCTCCCCGCTGAGCCCAGGGGGACAGGAGCAGCGGCCAGTGTGCATGTCACAGTGGCCTCCCCGGCACTGGCAGCCTGTGGGGGGGACAGGGCGGCTGAGAGCTGGTGGCCTGGGTCCCAGAGTCCTTGTCTAACCTGAAGGGTCCCCTCCTCGGTGTTCCCCCGTGCAGTACCCACCCCGTGGTGGGTCCCCAGCTCGCACTCACGCTTGCAGCCCTGCTCAGGGACCCCCCAGTGGCCAGGGGCACACTCGCGGCACTGGGGCCCCCAGGCGCCTGGCCGACAGTGGCACTGTCCGCTCTGGGGGTGGCATTCGGAGCCCTCAGCAGCCGGTCCACAGGTGCACGGACGGCAGCCCCCACAGCCTTCGAAGCCAAAATGTCCTTCCTGCAGGGAGGGGCGACGGTCGCAGAAGCCCCAGCCCTGAGTGTCTCTAACTCAAACACCACCCCCACCTCCCAACGCCCCCACCCCATGGCCCCACCAGGCAGCACCCTCCATGGCCCTACCTAGCAGCCACCCTACCATGGCCCCATGTGCCAGACCCTCCTCACCGAGGCCCAACCTGATAGCCACCCACACCTGGCAGCCCCCCATGCCCTACCAAGCAGACCCTCCTCACCTTGGCCCCACCTGACAGCTCCCCCCACCCCCCATGGCCCTACCTGGCAGCGGTCACAGCGCATCCCCGTCACACCTGCCTTGCACAGGCAGTGCCCACTATGAGGGTCGCAGCCCTCAGACCCACATGGGGAGCAGTCACACCCTGCAGAAGGGACAAGATGCTGGCCTGGGCCCATCCCTGCTCCCCGGCCCCCCAACCCGAGCTCTCATGGGGTTCCTACTCCACACAGAAGTCAAGATGCAGCAAACGAAGCCCCGCCCATCCTGGTCCTGCCAGCAGCACTTGAGCCTTGAGCCCTGCAGCCTACACCCCTCCTAGGTCCCGCCCCCACACCCCGGTCCCCCTACGGGAGCAGTTGCCAGGCAGCAGGGCGTTGCCGTAGAAGCCAGGGGCACAGGTCTCGCAGCGTGGGCCGGTAGTGTGGCGCAGACAGCCGCGGCAGGCACCCGTGAGTGGGTCGCAGTCGCTGAACAGCATGTTGGGGTCACCGTTGCCACTGCAGTCACAGGGCTGGCAGGAGCTGCCCAGCACCAGTGGGTTCCCGAAGAAGCCAGGAGCGCACCTGGGAGAGTAGCATCGGGGTCTGGTGTCCATGTCCCATGCCCACCTGTGTGTCCTCAGCAATCACACCCACCCCGCCATTCATCCACCCGCCCGCCACCCATCCACCTGTCTGCCACCCCACGGACTGTGCAGTCACACCTGCCCCGCCACCCACCCACCTGCCCACCACCCCACTCACTGTGCAGTCACACCCACCCTGCCTCAAACCCACCTGCCTGCCGCCCCACTCACCGCTCACAGGAGGCACCCGCATAGCCAGGTTTGCAGAGGCACTGGGTGTGGCCACCCCGCAGGACACAGCCCACAGCAAAGCTGCAAGGACAGTGGTGGCCATTACCCCACATGGCACCCCTCCTGGGCACCAGGTATGCGGAGTCCCCACCCCCACTGCGTAGGCCTCTGTCGACCCCAGTATTAAATCCAGCAGTGCCACAATGAGCGTGCCCAGACAGGGCCAGGGGAGGGTGTGCCTGCTCCCGGGGGCTGCCGCTTACTTGTTGGAGGGCACAGCAAGGGGGCAGGGGCAGCTGGTGCAAGGGGCTGTGGGTCCCTCGGGGCTGTTGCTCACGAAGCCAGGGAGGCAGCGCTCACAGTGGTCGCCCTCTGTGTTGTGCTGGCAGCCCTGGGGCAGGGGACGGGGACACTGAGGGGGCCTGCCTGGCACCCCACTCAGACCCCTCCAGTCGGGCAGGTCCTCTGCTCTCAGTCCACCTGTGACCAGGGGCTATCTCCTCGGGGACCCCACTTACCACACAGACGCCCGTGCCGGGAAGGCAGCGGTCTGAGTGGCCGTGGCACTGGCAGGGCACGCAGCGGCCCAGGAAGAGGCCCTTGGTGTCACGGTAATAGCCAGGGGCACATTCCTAGAACAGTAGGGGGTGCTGGTGAGCAAGAGGCAGGACTGGGTAGACCAGGGGACCGCGCGGCACCCAGGCTCAGAGGCTGGCCAAGCCTGCCTCCTGGCTCTGCCTGTGGGGCCGGTGACCGTCCTCTGGCACAGGAGGCAGGGCCACGTGGACATCCTGGCCTCAGTGTGGTGACCAACCCTCCACCTGCAGGAACTGGGCCTTCTCTTCCTCCTCAGAGTACCTCATTCGGCAGTGATTCTACCACCAACCACCTCAGACAGCAGGGACCACAGTGGACAGACAGTGGACGTGTGGAGGACCCAGCCCTCGGGCGGACAGTGGGCGCACGAGAGGATGAGTGTTAGAGAGAAAGGGGGTGGGCCAAGGCTGGGGTGGGTGGTTAGGGGACTGAGCAGGTGTGCGCAGAGAGTGCACGACAAAGGATGAATGGCAACAGCAGAGGGCGTCTCAGCCTCGGCCCTGGGTGAGACACCCGTGGTTGGAGAAGACATGCACGGGGCGGAGGCCGAGACAGCACCCGCTCCATCTGAGCCTGGCCTCACCTGGCACGAGTCCCCGCGGTAGCTGGCAGGGCACATGCACAGCTCCACGCTGCTGGCTGGCGGCCCCCGGCCCCCCACACTGGCGACCTCCAGCGCCACACGGCGCAGGGAGACAGCTGACGCGATCTGAGAGAAGAGGGCGCGGATCTGCAGCTGCTCCAGGCCAGCCAGCACCATCATGAGCTCCTCACGTGACACGGCATTGTGGGTCTCTGTGTGCCGGAAATTTCCCTGCAGACCAGGATAGGACCTTGATGGGCCACCCCTGTGGGCTGAACAGGAGCCCAGACGCAGACCCCTCTCCCCCACCATGGAGGACAGAGAAGGGCAATTAGTAACACACAGAGGGTGACACTCTGGTTATCAAGTGAAGAAAACCCTTGGATCCCTACCTCACACCACCTACAAACTCATCTTCATATGCAGGAAAAATTTACAAGTAACAAGAATGCATTTTAAGCTTTAAAAAAATAGAAGCCACTCTTTCCCTGTCTCCAAGAGACAAAAAGGTTCTCAAAGCACAAAAATACACAGTATGGGGGAGAAAACTGACACATTCGATTAAATATAATAATTGCTATTCAACAAAACCATCTTAGAGAAAAAAAAGTGAGACTTGAACAGGAATGGACAGATGTCTGTAGCTACAAGTATCAAGAACAACAGAGAGCCTCTAAAGAGACAAGGAAAAGACTGTGAAGCCGAGAAAGAAATGGTCAGAGAACAGTGTGCACCTCACAGAAGAGGGAGCTTGGGGGGGTCACTGAACCCCACAAGGAGCTGCATACTCCGTGCAATCCAGGGCAAGTGAGAAGAGTCCATCCCCACCAGGCCTGGCACAGAGAAGTCTGACGAGGCTTTGTGTGGCCAAGGTTCCCCCCACCCTGCACTTGCCCCTGGATTGTTTCTTCCACAGCAAACGGGCACAGCAGCCCCAGACCCCTGTGCAACCTCCAGGGCTGTACCGGGAAGGGCCTGGCGCCAGGCTGGCCCCACTCACCTCCACCAGCTGCAGCTGCCCATGGTGAGAGTGGCCAGGTGCTGGGTACGCCGGCTCAAGGAAACTGATACTCATCTGGTTGCCCTGGGGAGGTGTGAAGGCGGCCGAGGAGAGGCGGGCAGGCGGGTGAGGCCGGCTCTGGGGCTGCCCTGCCCTGCTCGCCACACCCACTTGCCGCCCCGCGTACCTGCAGTACCACATCTGGTCGGCTCTCCGTGCGGATGAAGACGTCTCCACGCTGGGTCTCTGAGTGTAGCTCGTAGCGTAGCATCCCCCCGTATGATGACACCTGGAGGCAGGAGTGGGGGTGACTGGCTGGAGCCCAGCAACACTGTCTGCGGCCCGGAGTCCGACTGAGGGAGCTCAGGCATCTGGAGCTGGGTGCCGGTGCCCTTGCCCATCCCACATCTCCCAGCGCTGGGCTGGGCCTGGGTGCTCCCACCTCCAGACATCTTAACTCTGGGCTCTCCTAGACTTGCTGACCCTCTGTCCCCGCAGCTGGGCCTTGGCCCCTGTTGTCCTTCCCAGCTGAACGCAGATGCCCTCAGCCCTCTTATGTCCCTTGCACAGGCTCATGCCATGTCTACCCCCTTCCCAGCTGGTCCCCGTTGCCCTTGGGGAGCTCCCCGTCAGATGGACGTGGACACCCTCCCAGCCCTCCCAGGGTCCTGGAAGCCCTCCTGCAGCCCCCTAGGCATGGACACCTGCACTGCACCCCCACAGTCCCCCAGGATCCCTACACCCTCAGGAGGCCCTCAGTGCTGTCCCCAGTCCTCAGGTCTGGCTGCTGGCCACGTTGCACTCACACGGTCCCCCAGGTAGGAGGGCGGGGCCTGCCAGTATAGCTCAGAGGGGGTCTCAGGAGCATGCCGCATGTCTGCGCGCAGCAGCTCTGCCTCCGCTCTCCGCTGGTGGGGCACTGTCTGACGGTCCCCGCTCAGCAGTGTCCAGCCTTCCATGTCCACGAACTGTGGGTGCAGGGGTGAAAGGGATGGAGAGTGCCTGCAGGAGCTCCCAGGACGGGTCCCAGGCCTGGATCCAGCCCATCACCTCCCAGCCTGCCCCAGGCCCTGCCCTCAGACGCATGCTCACCTCCTGGCGGGAGGACGGTGAGCTCCCACAGCGCTCAGTGGCTCCAAAGCAGAAGCAGCGTGTGCAACCTTTGGGGTTGGCAGCCTCCAGGGAGAAGGTCCCCAGGCGACACTGGTCACACCTGGGGCCCTGCACGTTCTCCTGGGGTCAGAGAGGGAAGGTCCACTGAGCTGCGGGTCACAGAGCCCCCGCCTCCAGGAATATGCCCCCTCACTGCAGCTGATCAGGCAGGACCACAGGTGGGTCGTCAGGGAGGCCCTGCCCCTTGTGCCCACTGCACACCCCCTCCACTTACCTTACAGTAGCACTGGCCAGTGAGTGGGTCACACACGCCAGGGGCAGTGCCAGCCTCATGGCAGTCACAGGGGCGGCAGCTGGGATAGCCGTGGAAGCCAGGGGCACACTTGTCACAGCGGCGCCCGGCCACGTTATCTCTGCACCTACAGAGCACACAGTGGGCTGAATGAAGCCCCACCACCACGTTCAAGCTGCCCGCACAGGCGCACTCGGCTTGCAAAGTGAGGGTGTTGCTCGGAGCACTGCTGGGGAGATGTGCAGCACCCCCCCCCCGCCCCGGGTGCAGACCCCCGCACCTGCACTGGCCGCTGTCCACATCACAGCTGGGATCTGTCAGCTCCTGGACACCTGGCCCTGAGCAATTGCACTCCTCGCAGCCCACCAGGGGGTGGCAGCCGAAGGTCTGCGGCTGGCAGACCACGCAGTCGGGTGGCAGGGTGCGCGGTGGGCACACGCACAGCCCCGTGAGCTCGTCACAGAGGCGCGCGCCACAGTCGCAGGCTGCAGGGAGGGGCGGCTCACTCTTCCCACCTCCACGCCCCACCCTGGTCCCTCCCCTAGGCAGCCAGCCCTGGAGGCGCTGGAAGGGAACCCCTCCGCAGGGAGCTGCCCCCCCCCAGTGCACATCCCCGACGCCGGGCACTCACGCCTGCAGCGGGGGAAGCCCCAGTAGCCGGTGGCGCAGCGGGAGCAGTCCCGGCCAATGACATGGGCGCGACAGGGACACTGGCCCCCAAAGGGCTCACATGTGGGACCCGTGGCACCCACTTCGTGGCAGCCGCACGGCCGGGCCCCATTGTTGTAGAACAGGGAGAGGGAGATGGCAGCATCACGGCAGAAAGAGGACGAACTGGAGGGGCTGTGGGGGGAGCAGCGGGAAGAAGTGTCCAGGCCCCTCCCGGGCACTGCCCTCCTCCCTCCACGAGCCCCGCCCCTCCTCGAGCTCCGCCCCTCCCTGGCCCCACCGCCAAGCCCCACCCCAGCCCTCCCTGGCCCCGCCCCTCTTGGGCCCCCGACCTGACCCCCACTCCCTCCAGGACATCTCCCCTGGAGCCCCACCCCTCCCTGGCACACCTCCTGAGCCCCATCACCGACCTAGCCCCCCCTCCCCCAAGCTCCACCCTGACCTGGTCCCACCCCCTCCTCCAGCTCAGACCATCTCTGGCCCCACCCTAGCCCTGGCCCCTGCCCCTCTGAGACGCCCCATTGGAGCCCCACCACCTCGATGACACCGCCCCTCCTCGAGCGCTGCCCCAGCCCTGGCTCCACCCCCTCCACCCCAAAGTCCCGGCCCACCCTGCTGCCCCGCCCACCTGATATGGTATCCCTGGGCAGCGCAGTGGCTGATGAAGTCATAAGACTTGTCCAGTGGCTCTTCCTGCAGGTAGCTGGAGGTGTAGACGTCCTCTGGGACGACCAGCACGTAATCCTGGGGGACGGGGCCTGGTCACCTTCTCATGGACCCAGTGAGGACAGGGGGTGGGGAAGAGGCTGCAGCAAGGCCCAGCCACCTCCAGGGTCCAGGCCAGGCTCCACAGGGGTGTTCAGGAGGCAGCGCCCACCTAGGGCCAACTGGGTGCTCGGGAGAACTGGGGGGCACCGTTCAGGGTGCTGGCTGCAGGCACCTTGCCCTCTCTCTCCACTCCTTCAAGGCCCCATCCTCCAGGAAGGGGGGTGCCGAGGACACTTCAGCACTCAGAGTCCCCTCAGGAAACTCCTAGGCTGGTCCAGGGTCCCCAGAGGCCACCCCTGCTCTGGCTGCTAGTGGTGTGTGGCAGGTGTGAGGACTATGGTCTCCGAGTGGGCTACCCTCCATCTTGCTCTGACTCCGCAGGCGTGGCCAGGCAGGGCTGTGCACAGAGACACTGGCCCTGAGCAGGCCTGCACTCACCAGCCAGAACCAGTGGTCCTCAGGCACACGCATGGTCACGGTCAGCTCCCTGTCCGTGACATCCAGCACCGTCTGGCCCTCACACACCACCAGGGTTCGACAGCCGTAGCCATGTGGGCAGAACCTGGCATTGGCATGGCCTGGGGGTAGGGAGACAGGTCACGACCTCCCCGACTCTGACCTGGTTCTGTTTCACATCCTCAGGCCGGGCCCTGCCAGAGACATCAGGGCAGGGGGACCCACCGCCCAGGCACATGTATCCAGGACTCGGATGAGGGGCTTGTGGTGGCCGGTCGACCAGTGACCCAGCTCCAGGGCACACAACAGGTGCAGCTCCTGGGTCTGGCTGTGTGGGGAACAGGCCATCGGCCTGTCACGGGTGTCTGGAGCGCGTGCTGACCCCATGTGTGTGGGAGGAGCCAGCAGAGCAGGAACCTGACTGTCTCAGACAAGAGGCACCCACTCACCGTGCCAGATGCGCCCCCCATTCACCAGCACCTCCACAGGGAAGGTGGGGTGGGCTGGCTGGTAGCCATGCAGCAGGATGGCGTAGCGGCCCAGGGTGGGCACATGGGTGGTGAAGACCACGGTGCCCTGTGGGGAGAAGCCCATGAGCGGTGGGCCAGGGGACGCCAGGACCCTGGCCAGCCCCCACTACCTGGGCCACCTACCGGGTCCTCACCTGGGGGTGACGCAGCAGGGTGGGTTCGGCGTCAGGGTCCACGATGGTGGGGGGCCGAGGCTGGGGCCCGGCCGGGGGTGCGCCCGGCGTGAGCTCCTGTGAGTGGGTCAGTGGGAGGCTGGGTGGCAGTGGCAGCACCTGGCAGTCCCGTAGCAGGATGGGCTGGGGTGGCTTTGGGAATCGGGAGGGCAGGCAGGTGGTGCTGCGGGCAAGTGCAGGGCCATGTCAGCGCCCGCCTGCCAGTCCCCACCACCTGCCCGGTCCTCCAGTTCCCACTACCTGCTTGGACCAAAGGTGCCATGGCGGCTGAGGCAGCGGACTTGGGGCTCCACAAACTCCACGCTGGACAACCCCGCGGGCACCAGGGTGACACTGTGCTGTAAGCAGGGGGACAGTGAGGGCGCAGGGTGGGGTTGGCCCACACCACAGTGGGCTCGTCCTGCCTCCGCCCAGCCCACAGCCTCCTCTGGGTGCTCAGATTCCAGCCCTTGGCAGGAGAAGTGGTGTTTCCTGTGGAGCAGACACTTCCGGGGCTCACATGACCTCTCCTCTGGTCAACCAGGGTTTAGCCAAGCACCACCCCCTCAGAACACACCTCCCCAGCCCCTGCCCCGGCTCCCTCTGTGAGGCCAGGAACACAGAGGCATGACTGGACATCTGCTTTGATGCACGGCTCACCCTGACGTTAGGGCACGTGCCACCCTCAGGATAAGAGACAACTGTATCTGGAAGAAGCCACAGCAGCCAATGGACTATACAACCAGGACAACGACACAGCCCCATCTACAGCCACACTTGGAAAAACCACACCAAGAACCAGCGTGTGCACCCGTTTATAAAAAGTTCCAGAACGGGCTGTTAGATGTCAGGGAAGCGCCTACCCCAGAAGGGGGCCCCGAGAGGTGCCTGGGAGGCGGTCACTGTGTCCTGGCTGCTAGTTCTGTGGAGTGACCCTGAGCTGTGCCTTGTGCTGTGAGTAGTCTTCCGTACTTTTTCAATGGAAAGTCTGGACCCCCCCCAGTACTGCAGGGCTGGGGTCTGGATGCCCCAGTATTGGAGATCTGGGGTGTGGACCCCCAGTATTGGAGATCTGGGGTCTACACCCCCCAGTACTGGAGATCTGGGGTCTGGAGAGAACAAGGTGGGCGTTGGGGAAGGGTACTCGGGGGCCAGGATGAGTCTCTCTTGACTTGTGCACGTTTGAAATCTCTCCAGGAAGTTGGTCCCACAGGACTCCCGGGGCCAGCAGACGAGGGGTCACGTCTTACCATGAAAAAGCGTGCCTGCTCGGCCGTGAGCCGGACACTGGCCTCCGTGTCCAGGTGGAAGACGGCCAGGTGGTGCTGGGTGTCCACAGCAGTGGCACGGCACAGGGTGCTGGAGGAGGAGAGGGGTCAGTGGGGGCCGGCAGGCGCAGCCCCTCCCTGTGGAGACCAGGCTTCCCCCACCCCACACACCTGTATGAGCAGGGGTAGAGGGTGAGCGTGCCCTGCTGGGGGGCCTGCTGGGGGCTGTGCACGGCTACCCCCACCTCCTGGCGGGCATCCTCGTTGGCATACTCCACCACCAGCACGTAATGCCCCGGCTGTGGCACTGCCACCTGCAGCTGGACGTCCATCTGGGGGACCAGGTGATCAGAGTAGCCCCACAGGCCCCACCAGAAAACAGGCCGCACCCCACTGGTCCGCAGCCCTGGACGTGGCCCCGGGGCTGCACCTCAGCCCCTCCCCTGCCCCGTGCCAGGCCCCCCTGGCTCCAGGCCCTTCACGCTCGCTGGCCAGGTGGCCTCATCGTGCCCACCCACCACCGTGCCTGCTGCAGCCCTGGTGTGGGGAGCGGAGCCAGGCACAGTGCAGGGGCTCCATCCATCCATGTCTGTGGGGTGAGGAACACCCCCTGGGAGCCTCAAGAGGAACTCGTGAAGGACAAGGCTCCGGGGTCCTGAGACCAGCAGTCACCCCTGCGACCATGGCAGACACCCAGTTCTGGACACCCACTGCCTCCCAGCAGCCCGGCCCCCTGTACCCGTGACCCTGCCACTGTGATGGGGGCCTCTCCCTCAAGGCCAAGGTCCTGAGACCACCCCACCCCCACAGGGCCCAGGCACTCACATCACTGCCCAGGCAGGCGGCCAGGGGTGGGTGGGAAGGACTGAGCTGCTTCACAGGGCAGGGCCGTGGCAGGCTGTTGTCTTGGCGACACAGGGCTTCAGCCCCTGAGGCCGAGGGGAAGCCGTCCAGGGGGAGGTGGGCATAGAGGAGACAGCTGGGGGCACACAGGAGGCAAGCATGGATGGGCAGCCCTGGGGTCCATGCTGACGCCCCCCTCCCCGGTCCTGCCAGCAGCCCTTACTTGTCCACAGAGTGCTGGGCAGTAGGGCGGTAGGTGCAGGCCTCGGTCACCCGGAATTGCAGCAGGGCAGCCTCGTAGTAGGCACTGGGCAGCAACACCACATAGTCCTGGCAGGGAGGGGAGGTGGGTGCTGGCCCATGGGCCGGCCCGCCCCCCTCACCAGGAGCACCCCTTCAGCCTCCACCAGCAGGGCCCAGGTGGGCCCCCCTCACCAGGAGCACCCCTTCAGCCTCCACCAGCAGGGCCCAGGTGCCAGGGTTCATCACAAAGGGCTCCCCGAAGCCCCTCTGGGGCACCGTGATGAAGGCAGGCTCCGTGCTGGGCAGGAAGGTCACATGCTGGCTCTGCTCCGTGCCTGCCAGATGTGGCTGTGAGACCCCGGCCAGCACTGGATCCCCCCGCCAGCTGGGCCCAGTAGGTGGGACTGGGGACAGGGTCGGGGGGGGTCGCAGGAGTGGACGCAGGGCTGGGCCTGGCTAGTCAGGCAGGGCAGGGTAGGGGCGGGGCTGGGCCAGACAGGGAAGGAGTGGGGTCCGAGCAGGGGGGGTAGAGGAGGGCTGGGTGGGGCTGAGACTGGGTAGGGGTGGGGCAGTGACAGGCCATGGGCGGGGCTGGGACGGGGTGGGGGCGGAGCCAGGCACGACAGCGGGGTGGGGGCAGCACGCACAGTTAGCACAAGTGTCCATCTTGCCCTCCTCCCGCACAGAGACACGCCCGCTGACACTGGCAGGGCCCCTGTTCACGTAGCGGAAGACCAGCCGGAAGAGGTCTGGGGAGGTCACGTTGAGCCTGGCCACGATCCTGGGCTGGGCAGGGCAGGGCAGGGCAGAAAGTTCCAGTCACCCCTCCGCCACGCCGGGCTGGGCCACCCAGCTGGGCGTTGGGCTCTCTGCAGCCAGTCCCCCCGGTGTGCAGAGCCCCGGGACGGGGGCGTGGGGGTGCCCCCACCTGGATTGGTGCCATCTGCGCATAGCCCCTCCAGCTGAAGTTCTCGAACTCAAGGGGGTTGAAGCCAAAGCGCACGCCGTGGCCCTCAGGTGTGGTGGCCTCCTCCAGCTCCAGGCGCAGGTGATGCAGGTCGGGCAGGTAGTGGTCCTGGGCCGGCCTGCCACAGCGGACACGTTTGCAGGGTGCAGCGGGCGCCCAGGTGGCCCCAGAGAAGCCCAGCGGGCAGCTGTCGCTCCCCCGTGTCCCCCGCCCTGGCCCATTGGGGGTGGCACACTGACTCGCTGCAGGTGGAGCCCTGGGTGTTGGGGCGGCAGCGGCAGGCGCCCGTCCGAGGCTCGCAGCCCTGGCCCAGGGCACCACCGACGTCACACCGGCAGCCTGAACGGGAAGTTGTTGTTGTTGTTATGTGCTGTCGAGTCAGCCCTGGCTCATAGCGACCCCTCCTTGGGTTTCCGAGGCAGTATCACTACGGAAGTAGGATTGCCCAACCTTCCTTCCGAGGAATGGCTGGTGGGTTTGAACCGCCAGCAGTCTGGTTAGCAGGCAAGTGCCTTAGGCACTATGCTACCAGAGCATGAACAGGAAGGAGCCAGGTCAATCTGGCAGCCCGCCTGCTGCCCCTCCCACCTCTGGGCCACTCCTCCCCAGCCCCCACTTTGGGACCCTGCTCCGTCCACCCTCTGCCCAGAGCAACAGCTGTTATGTGCTGCAATGGCTGAAGTCCAGGCTGTGGAGGCCAGAGCACTGGGACTGCTTAGTGATGTCTGCCAAGGTGCCAGAGGACAGGAGGAGGGTGTGCCACAAGGTGCCACCTAAGCAGTTCTGAGCCTCCTCCTCACCCAGCTGGGCCAGCCTGGCACCCTGCAGAGGCCCTAAAGCCACCCTATGCCCAACCCCAGGCTGGGTCCATGCCTCAAAGGTCCTCTGGCCTCGGCCTGCCGGCACGAACAGACCACAGGTGTGGGAGGAGTCTGGGCTCACCTCGGCAGCCAAAGTAGTTGCCCTGGTCCAGCCCAAAGAAGCCGTCCCTGCAGGCGCCACAGGTCTGCCCGCACACATGGGGCCTGCAGAAGCACTGGCCACTGTCCTGGAGGCCGAGAGAGCAGTGGGACCGGGCAGGGCCCCCACCCACCTGCCCCTCAGCCTCCATCCTCAGGTCCCAGACTCACCTGCTGGCACTCGGTAACACCTCCCAGTGTGCCCCGGGGGTCGCAGCTGCAGCCTGGAGAGGGCGAGAGTAGACCTGAGAAGGGGAGCAGGCCAGAGGCCGGTCTCCATCCTCACGCAGAAGCCCCCAGCGCCTGACACCCAAACCGCGATACTCACGAGTGCAGCCCTCAGGGTTGCTGGGGTTCAGCCCCCAGTACCCAGCTTTGCAGTGATCACAGCTTGGCCCTTCCACGTGAGCCCGGCACACACAGGGGGCCTGGGAGAGGATGAGACTGAGGGTCAGAGTGGGTCCTTGCCCTTTACCCACAAAGCTGGAGGTCAGAGGGGAGCTGAGGTCACCTGTCTTGACCTGCCCCACACCTGGAGTCCCCCCGGAGCCTAGGACAGCAGGTGGGGGAGATGGTGCCATTGCACCTAGGGATTTCAGTCTGGGCTGGGCCCCATCCCCCCGCCACAGGCAGACCCGGTCTCACCTCGGGCAGGGTGGGCTCTGCTGGTGCCAGGCCAGCAGGGTGGCAGGAGCCAGCTGTGAGAGAGGAGAGAGGTGGGGCTGGAGTCACTCCTGGTGAATGACCCTGAAGGCCAGGATTTCCCCAGGCCAGGCAGAACCCCCGGCTGTGAGTGAGCCCAGTGCTCACCTTACATATCTGTAAACACATGTGAGAACACATGCCTCCCTGCTCTGGGGCCAGCTGCGAGCCCTCCCCTCACCACACAGGACATGTGTGAACACAGGGGCATGCATAGCACATGGGCATCACGTAACTGCTCACACACACAGCACATGGACCACATGAGCAGAAACACAGACACACAAAAGGGGAACACAATTGCACAGGTACACGGTCACATGGAAACACATATATGACATGTGAGCATACATGGCACACATGCTATGTGCATGTAGGCACAGCACATGGCAGGCAGCCAGTGCATGGGTATGCACACAAGGGTGCACATGTGGGTGCTGAAGTGAACGTGCACAGCACGTGAACAGCAGCCATGACCAGTCACATGCACACAGAGCACGTGGGTGTGGTGCACACGCGGACACACGTGCCATAATGCCGTCTGGGCCCTGGCTTGTGCCTGGCTCACCTTCACAGTGGGGGAAGTCATAGGCACCGGACACACACATGTCACAGTGCAGCCCCGTCACGTGGGGCCGGCAGCTGCACTGGCCACTCTGGGGGTCGCAGGTTGCGTGCAGGGAGCCAGCGGTAGAGCAGCGGCAGGCTGTGGGGAGGGCAGGTGGTGGGTGGGCACGTGGTGGGTACTGCACCCCCTCCCCATCCTGACACACTCACGGGTACAAGCCGGGAAGCCATGGAAACCGGGGCTGCAGGCCTGGCAGGTGGGGCCCATGTAGCCAGGACGGCAGTGACATGTGCCTCCTGCCCCGCACTGCTCGTTCAGGGACCCCCGGGGGTCGCAGGCACAGGCTGTGGGGACACATAGGGTCAGGTCTGGGCACCATGGGTGGCCTGCCTCCTGCCCTCCATCCGTGCCCCTGACTTGGCTCACCGTGGCAGTCAGGGTACCCGTGGTAGCCAGCACGGCAGCGGTCACAGTGGGGGCCATCAAACTCAGGCCGGCAAGGGCAGCGTCCCGCCTCATCACAGCCTTCAGGCAGGGTCCCCGTGGGACTGCAGCCACACACTGTGGAGTAGACGGCATCATGGGGACCCTCACCTTAGGTGAGCTACCCCTCCCCCCCAGCTCGAGCACCTGCTTGGGGAGGTGTGACTCACACTGGCAGAGAGGGAAGTGGAAGTAGCCGGGGGAACAGCGGTCGCATGCGGCGCCTTCGAAGCCCACCCGGCACTGGCACTCGCCCGAGTCGCGGTCACAGTTGCTGTCGGCCACCCCGGGGCTGGAGCACTGGCATGCTGCAGGGAGGGGAACAACACGCCAGGTCAGAGGGGCCTGGGCCTCAGCATCCACACAGGGCGGGGCAAGGGCTGTACTCACGCTGGCAGCCTGGGCCGTAGAATCCAGGGGCGCAGAGTTCACAGTGGGCACCCTGGAAGTTGGGTTTGCACACGCAGCGTCCCACCCGTGGGTCCCGGCGGCAGGCGTTTCCCTGGGTCCCAGCAGCACTGCAGTCACAGTCTACAGGTGGCAGGAGGGGTTCTAAGACACCCTGGGGACCCAGCCCTCCTCACCCAGGAGCTCATATACTCACACTTTACACTAAACTAACACAAATGAGGGCATGACATCCATGGAAGCAGCACAAAGAACAGAACAGCTATCAATACATCCCACCATTGTTCACGACTCAGGTACCAAGTTCATGGCAACCATTAACACAAGAGGAAAAACCAGCAAGTGTTGCCCAATCTGACAAAAATCAGGAACGGAAAGACCCAGCAGGGGCAGAGCAGATGTACAACAAGGAGAGAGAGCAGCCCCAGCTCTCAGCAGCCACCACCAGTGTGTCAGGCTCATCTCCTTTCGTAAGACAAAAGCAAAAGTTCCAGTTGGAATCTAAAAGGAAAATCCAGCCACAGCCTCTGTGAAGGACACATCAAGAACCAAGCACTCAGGCTGGAGACACAGAGCCACATGGAAACAGAACTGGTGGTGCCAACAGCCCAGCAGGTGAGCATGGAGACAGGAACAGCAGTGCAGGCAGAAGGCAAGGCAGTGTGGAGACCTAGTGTTCTGTGTGTGGAGAAAACGGACCCTTGTCCAGAGGATGTAGCAAACACAAATCTTTGAGAGCAGAGCCAACCTGGTCTAGAGGTGTATGAAGCCAAGGCTGTTAAAATGGCAAAGTTATAGCCATGGAGAGAGAGACTGAACACAGCACGTTCTGGGACGTGGCAGCTCAAAGAGATGGCACAGACTTAGCAACATAATTAACACGCTGGCTTTGGAGGGATGTTTGTGTACAAATCTGTCCCCAGCAGAGAATGTGTATCCCTGCCAGAGATTTGTGGAATAATGTCAAAGTGGTCATGTGCCAGGCATGCAACAAGAACAACTCCGATTCCCAAACCAAAGCCCAGATATCATCAGGCCACTGAGATTATCACCCAACTGAAATCACCAGGCTACTGAATCTGAGCACACTGCAGTGAAACTGAAAAAGAACCATGTCAACAAAGGATCGAAGTTAATCTAACACCTGGGATTTGTAAACATGCTTATAAACACTCAAATCCCCCCAGAAAATACAAACTGAAGTTACAGACTATTGAGAAAGGAGCAATAATGAGAACATGGTACCCTAAACTCTATGGGATATATGCAGCCAAAGCTATGCTTTGAGGACAATGCATAGCTTTAAACCAGTACTTCTCAAGCTCAGACCACAGATGTTGTAGGCTGAATGACTCCTTGTGGTGGGGCTGTGCTGTGCAAAACTACCCCTGTTGCAAACCACTGCTTCAAACACTTTGTTGGTATAAAGATAAAAAATAATACACTAGTAATTCCAGAAGCTATGGAAAGAGTGATAAAGGCAAGAAAGTGGCCAGGAAGAAAGAAAGATTTTAGTTCACAATGTACAGTGGTAAAGAAAAATCTCTCCCCAAAACCAAGCCAAGAAAAACCCCAGCAGCTCTTATCAGCAGCACTGAAACCACCAATAGGTGAAGCAAGTCTCTGGTAGGTCCGATCAAGAAAAAATAAGAAAATAAACTATGGAAGAGCCAGTACTGAGGAACAAGCAGAAAGGCAACACCTTCAGAGAAAAGTTAGCACAGCCCTGGGCAGGCACTCACGTCAGAACAACTGGATGAAACAGGTGCCACCTTGCCTGTCAGCCGAGGAAGTGCAGCGGAGCGCAGGGAAATGCCAAGCACGGCGGAGTCCCTGACCCCACTGATCTTGGGTGTCCCACTTTGAAGGGAAAGGTGTTCTGGGTAGCACCAATGCTGAATGCACTCAGCTGCTCACCAAGAGGCTGGAGCTTTGCATCCATCCAGACAGGCCTTCGAAGTAAGACTTGCAGGCTTATACACACCCGACACCTCATGGGTTTGGTTCCTTGGTTTGCAGGTTTAGGGTCACAGTTTCATGGGACATCCTAGTTAACTGGCCTAATAACATGTCCCAGTTTGTTACATGTAGTGCCCGGGGGCTGAAAAGCTTGCAAGCGGCCTTCCAAGGCACAACAACTGGTCTCTGCTCACCTGGAGCAACAGAGGAAGCAGAGTCAGGAAGAGAAGGAAGACAGGGAAAGTGTGGCTGACTGCCTGCAGGAGCACCTGCCTCCTGGGCCGTGAGTCCAGACTGAACACTCGGATCAAAGATTCCCGCTAAGAATCCTGATCAAAAGGGGGAACTTTAAGCCACAAAGATCCTGAGATCCTTTTAAAACCAAACAGCAGATTCGCCCACTGATGAAGAGCGTGTGCCCTGAGCATGGTGCTCCTGGAAGGTCTGTCTACACGGCATCAGCTTGACAGCAGCGGCCAGCAGACTGGATGGGAAGCTTGAGGCAGTGAGCTCATGTCGGGGGCAGAAACAGCTTGCACAAGGAGGAGGAGGACAGCTGCACAACTCGAGTGGCTTCAACATCACCGAAACGTACATGGAAAAACTGTTGGACCGGGGCCTGTCTTGCTGGGTATGGGTTCAACAGCAAGAAATAAAATATAAGAAACAAACAAAAAGCTATACCCTGGCGCACATGGGGATGCCAGGGTGGAAGAGACCTGCTGGCAACTGGTTTGGTTTTTCCTTGTTTTATGGAAGGGAGACTCCCTGCCAGTGAGGCTCTGACGTGCCACGTCCGGAAGACACATCGCAGCTCCAGAAACAGTACAATGGGAAACTAAAACCACAACCAAACCCACTGCCGTTACGTTGATTCCAACACACAGTGGCCCTAAAGGACAGACCAGAACTGCCCCATCAGGTTTCTAAGGCTGCAGCAGTCAAGAAATCAGACCATGCACTGCACTGGGAAAATCTGCTGCAAAAGACCTCTGTAAAGTGTTAAGAAGCAAAGATGTCACTTTGAAGACTCAAGTGCGTCTGACCCAAGACAGGGTATTTTCAGTCACCTCCTATGCCTGTGAGAGCCAGACAGTGAATAAGGAAGACTGAAGAAGAACGGATGCCTTTGAATTATGAGGTTGGCGAAGAACTCTGATAACACCACGGAATGCCAAAAGAATGCACAAATCTGTCTTGGAAGAAATACAGCTGGAATGCTCCTTGGAAGTGAGAGTGGCCAGACTCTCACGTACTTTGGTCCTGTTGTCAGAAGGATGTCATGCTGGTAAAGCAGAGGGTCAGGGCAAAAAGGGAAGGCCCTCAACGAGATGTACAGACACAGTGGCTGCCACGATGGGCTCGGGCCAGCGAGGACCGTGAGGCTGGCCCAGGGCAGGGCAGGGTTTTGCTCTGTTGTACGTGGGTCCCTCTGAGTCAGGCCCGGCTGGTGCATGCCTGGTAACACATCTTTACGGAAGCAGACTGTCCCATCTTTCTCCTGTGGAGCAGCTGGTGGGTTCAGATGGCCAACTTTTTGGTTAGCAGCTGAATGCTTTAACCGCTGCACCACCAGAGCACCAGGAACTAGGTTTCTGAATTGATGAATCTCTTTGTTGCCAATCAAGCTGACGATGTACGCTGCTACCTGGTGACAGCAATCAGTCAACCTGTGTGCGTGCTCACTGCGAACAGACTTTGTAACACTGCGGTGACATCCACACAAGGAAACCCTTGCATCCCAGCATCTCTATGTCCCCAGCAGTGATGCTCATCACGTCCCCAGCTGTGCTACCATCACAGCGCCCAGCTGACCATGTCCTTTGTTGCCCTGAACAGACACTCAGTCCCTTCAGCGGCACCGCCCCTTCTCTCCCTGGACTGCTTTTTTCCTAAGAGAGCAATTTGGGAAATTGAAGCCAAAAATGTCCCAGACGTGCACATCTAGCAACTCAGAAGCTTCTAGGAAACTGTGCTGCAATGTAACAAAGGATGCGTGCCGAGTTTTCATTACACAACTGAACTGTTTATCTTATCACTCTGGTTATTTTTTTAAAAGTGCAAAGAACCTACCCATCTAGCGGCTAGGGGTGGGTTACTAAGCTACATCTGATCAGTCGGGACAGGAAGTGACCTGCTGACTGGACAGGGTTGGGCAGGGAATGCACTCACAGACAGACAGACCTCAAAGTACACACTCAGAGAAAGGCACAGGACGTGCCCGTGCTGACTGGAGGGTCTGAGAGTCTGCATGAATGTTGTCCTTTGCTTTCGGCCCACCTCTGCTTCGGAAGGAAGGAAGGTTTGCTCCCCTGACTGTGTATTGTTAGCATAAGAAGAGCCAAAGTCAAGGTGACAAAGAGGAAAATCCCCTCCTCTGAGGAGCCTTCCTGTGGGGCAGCTCCCGGGCAGGTCGGGCAGGTAGGGGCCGTGCGGACTCAGGGGACACTTACTGACGATCTGGCCAGCCGGCAGCACTTGTGCCCCAGTGTCGTTGGGGGGGAACGAGGACACAGCTGGGGAGAGAGCCAGAGTCAGCCGGGGACCCAGCAGCCCCTCTCGCTCCCCCTCCTCATGTCGGCCTCCCCCCAGGTCTCTCACGCCCCCTCCAGCCAGGGCTGAGCTGCGCTCCACAGGCAGGGCCAGGGGGCCCGGGGCCCGCCCGCCCGCGGGCTCCCCGGGCCTGCAGGCCACGATGCTCAGGTCTCAAGGCCCCACGCGGGTGCTCACGGTAGCAGCGCGGGAAGCCAGCAAAGCCCTCTGCGCAGGCGTCACAGCGCTCGCCTGTGAAGTTGGGCCGGCAGTAGCAGCGGCCTGTGAAGTCCTCACACGTGCCGTCCGTGAAGTCGGACTCACAGTCGCATCCTGGGCAGGGCCGGGGCAGAGAGTGTGAGACCCTAGCCCAGGACACATGCACCCTGGGGTCCCCAACTGGGCACGGGACAAGAGCCATGGCCACCGTTCCCAAGTGGAGGACAGCTCCAAGGACCCAGAGAGCCAGAGGCCCTGGGGTAGCTCTGCATCCATCCCATGGTGTGGACATCCCCACCAGGCAGATCCCGGGCCCAAGGATACCCCCACCCCAGCAGACCCTGGCCCAAGGACAGCCCCCCGCTCCCCCTGCTCCCCACTGGCACCCCTGCTGGACAGCCTCACTCACGGTGGCAGGTGTGGGGCGAGTCCACAGCATGGTGTGGGGAGTGGTAGAAGCCGGGCAGGCAGCGCTCACAGTTGATGCCAGTGGTGTGGTGCTGAGGGGGTGGGAGGGTTGTTGGGGTCACTAAGTCCAGTGTGTGGACCACACCTGACCTCCACACAGGCCCCGCCCATCCCCGTCCTTCCTGTCCCAGACCTGGTGGGCGGTCTCCTACCCGGCACTCAATGCAGACACCACCTCCCTGGTAGGTGTGGTGTGGTGCTGAGGGGTGGGAGGGTTGTTGGGGTCACTAAGTCCAGTGTGCGGACCACACTGACCTCCACGCAGGCCCCGCCCATCCCTGTCCTTCCTGGCCCCGCCCCTCCCCGTCCTTCCTGTCCCAGCTGGCGGGCGGTCCCCTACCCGGCACTCAATGCAGACACCACCTCCCTGGTAGACGTGGTCCTGGTTCTGGCTGGCATTCCGCTGATCCACCTCAGGGTCATAGTAACAGTCATGGGCGTGGCCGTGGCAGTTACAGGCTGGAGAGGTGGGGGCTCAGTTATCAGGCATGCCCACCGTGACCCTGAGCACACCACCTTTCACTCCTGTGTCCAGTGAACCATGACAACCCCAAATGTGGCTGGTTCAGGGGCAGAGCTGGTAGCCCACGTGTGTGTAGCCTGAGTGCACCAACAATGTGTATACATGTATGTGTGTGTATACATGTGTGCATATGGGCATGCACAGGCATGTGTGCACATGTGTACGTGTATGCGTGTATGCATGTGTGCACGTGCACATGAGTGTGCCTGTGTGTGTGTGCATGCAAGAGCAGTAGGGGTACTCACATTGGCATTCATTGGCACTGTCGGTGGTGGCTGGCCGCCATGGCTGCTGGTGAAAGCCTGGGCAACAGCGGTCACAGGAGCCCCCGCACGTGTTATGCTGGCAGGCACACTGTAGCCTGTGGGGACAGAACCGAGGGGCTCAGACCACCATGCATCTTGGCACAGCTGCTAGGACCTGCCTCAACCCACCCAGAGGCAAAGGCCTGGGGACGTGGGGGTGGCAGGCCCTCGGTCCCCATCTCACCGCTGCTGCCCTGCTATGGGGGGCAGGCTCATCTGCGCCCCCTGGCCTGTTTTCCGAGCTGTCAGCGGTGCCTGCTTTGCCCCAGCACCCCCGCTGCCCCAGTGGCTCTCCTCCCTCCCTGGACAAGGAGAGCAGGGAAGGATGCAACAGAGGGACAGGTTTCCACTGCAGCAGAGCTGCCCCTGGGCCCTCGTGGAGGGTGGAACTGGGGAAGAGGTGTGTGTGGACAGTGGGGCAAGGCTTGGGCCAGGTGTCTTCTTGTCAGAAGTGGCAGCCCCTACCTGCAGGACTAGGCTGTGCTTTCCCTGATGTGGGCAGCCCAAGGGAGAAGGGCGTTTTTCCAACCCCCTCCAGGGCCCAGATCTTGCTCAGCAGGCCATCCTGAGCTCAGCCAGACACCCCCACACATCCAGGGACGTCCCCAGGGGCAAGTGGCCGGGAAGTGCAGCTGGGGGTGGACACCAGGTGGGACAGCTAGAATGCTGTGTGTTGCTGCTGCGAGTAGCTCCTGCTGGCTCAGTGGGCAGGGGACAGCTGCTCAGATGAGGACTGAGCGGGGGCTGCCTGCTGCTCAGAACTAACCTGGACGTCCATGCCGAAGCCCACTCCCTGGCCACGTCTCACACCAGCTCAGCCAAGGAGGGGGCCGGAATGACAAGCTCTGATTGCTGCACTGCCCTGGCCAAGCCCCAAGGCCGTGGAGCTGTCCATGTCCTTAGCAAGACCCCAGCAGCCAGTCCACACAGAAGATGAGAAACCTTCAGGGGCCGTATCTGGTGTTTGCATTTTCAAAAGCCTGCATGGTGAGGGCACCTCTAAACCCTAACATACAAAGTGGTGCCAGGCTGGTGATACCCAGAGGCATGTGACAAAGACCCTTGAAAAACCACTATGGAGGGATTCTTAGAAATACAGGATGCGTAGGAAACACACAGATGAGGCTCCACTGAGGAAGAGCACGCAAGAAAACAAGGCACTGACACTACAAACAGCAAGAACAGATTCCAAGAACATCATTTAGTGGAGTGATCCAGGAGAAACTGTAAAGTAGGAATGCTTGCATGATGTAACAAAGGAACTTAAAACATAACAAAAACATCACAGTGCTATGAAAAACAGGCAAACATGAGGAAAAAGCCAATCAGAACGTCTATAAATGAAAAGGAAAATTATTGAAATTAAAGACTCAATGGCTGGGTTAAAAAGCACATGAGACGCAGCTAAAGAGAGATTTAGTGAACTAGAGGAGGAGCTGAGGAAGCTACCCAGGAGGCACCTCAGGAGACAAATGGATGGAAAATATAAGAAGTTATAAAACAAAGGAAAACCTTAAAAAATTCTCACCTGCACAGAATTCCAGGAAAGAAAAGGGGCACAAAAGAGCAAGAAGGTAACCAAAATCATGGAGAAAAGTCAAGTCTACAAGGCTGACAGCCTCCGTGAGTCATGACCTCAACTACCCTGAGACCAGAAGAACTAGATGGTGCCCGGCTACCATCACTGACTCATCTGACCAGGGACACAACAGATAATCCAGGTGAGACTGGGGAAAAATGAAGATCAAGACTCCAATTATTAAAAAAGTCCAGGCTCACTGGACCACCCATGACCAGAGGAGTCCTTGAGACTGTGGTCCTGAGAGGCTCCTTAAACCTTGAACACAACTACCCACTGAGACCACCTTTCAGCAGAAAAGCAGAGTGACACATAAAATAAAGGCATCACCCACTGGATCAGTGCTTTACTGAAAAACATCTGTAGGAGTCCAAAAGGTCAACATGTAATCCAGAGCAAAGACAAGAAGATAAAGGGCGGGGAATGAGAACACTCGAAGTGGGAAAACCAGACACAACTAGAGAGAGAGCTGTCACCATGTGGGAAATGTTACTGATGTCATTGGTCAGTTTGTGTGGGACAGGCCAAATGGAAAACCAAGTTGCTACATAAACTTTCACCAAAAACACATTATTTTTAAAAAATGAAATGTAACTTCCAAATTAAGAAACGGGAAGAGTGAATGAGGGGTTCGGTACAGAACTTGGTAAGCAATAATTACTCGGAATTATGGTGGTGGTGGCAAGTGAAGCTGGGTGAGATGGTGGTGCAGGTGGAGGCAGAGGGGATGGTGATGGCAGACATGGTAGTGGCAGTGATGGTGGCTTGGGGAAGGTGGTTCTGATGCCCATGGAGGTTGTGGTCGTAACACTGATGGTGGAGGTGAGAATGGTGACCCTGGTGGTAGAAGTGACCCTGATGGTGGAGGTGATGGAGGTGACAGTGGTGGTGGTTACAGAAGTGCTGGTGTGGAGATGATGGTGCTGATGATGGTGCTGATGGTGGTAGGGGAGTAGTGACAATAAGGGAGTGGTGTTGGAGGTGACTGTGATTTTCATGGTGGTAGCAGTGATGGTGATGCAGTGGTGACGATGCTGGTGATGGTGTGGTTGGTGGTGGAGGTAAGGAAAGGGACAAGAGCCGAGCCAGCAGGAGGGCAGAGGCCCCTGGACGACAAGTGGCTGTGGCCGCTGGAGGGAGAAGGTGGTGTCCAGGATGCTGGTGTGTGACGTGGCCTTCTGATAGGGGCTCTGCTGCTGTTTATGGTGCTGGGAGAGACGCCAAGCCCACGCACCCCTTACACCTTGCGGGTGAGCTGAGCTCGGCCCATGCCCAGGCTCCGGGGAGCCGGGGTGACGGCGTTGGCTTCTGGCAGGCAAGGGCAAGCCCCAGCTCGGCTCGAAGCCCTTCTCTCCTCTGAAGCCAATTTGGCCGCCCCAGTGGGCTCCCCTCCCAGGGCCTTGAGTTATGCTCCCTCTTGGCACCTAATTTCCCAGGACAAATTAGCTGTGCTTGAGCCGAGCAGCCTGAAGACATGCTGGCAGGAACCGCACCCAGAGGCCCACAGTGAGGCCAAGCCCGGGCAGGAGGGCCCCGGCCCGCAGCTCCCAGGAGCAGACTATGCCTCCAGCTCAGCGGGGCCGCCTCTGCCCCTTCAGGCCCACTGGCTCTGAACACGTTGGGGTTCACGTCTCGGCCCCGCTCTGACCAGGAGGTTGGGTCGGGGCTTCTCCCAGCTCCTCTGTGAATTGGGGGGTAGGGAGCACAACAGGAATCCAGCGGATGACACGGGGCGGCCCCAAACCCAACTGCAGAGCTCAGGGCTGCAGCACGGTGACCTGCCAGCTCCCTCCAGGAACGCGGGGCAGGGGTCTCGGCACAGGTTCCCTCACAAGGTCAGCCGCGTCTCATCACATGCCAGCTCTGTCATCCCTGCAGTGCTCAGCCCTTCTGGGGAGCCCCACTGCCTTCCCCAGAACAGCTTCTGGGACTCAGGGGGTCCCACCTGGTACACCCAGTACCCAGAACAGAGCCCTGGGCGTGTTTGGGGCTCGACGCACAGTGTGTGCGCAGGCACAGAACAGTAGTGTCCTTGGCACCACAGCTGAGTGGGGACGGTGGACTCTGGCCGAGGGCCGGGCAACGAGGTGGCTGGCACAGCCACTGATTCAGGTGGGTGTCTCTGCCCACCTTCAAGCACCAAGTCACCCAAGGATCTGGCTTGGGGCAGACATCTGAGGGCTGCCTGCCAGGAGTGCATTCCCAGGCCCTGGTTGTTGGCGACTTGGTTGCAGGGGACATTGTGCAGTGATGTGGGCTGGGCGCTAGCTATGCCATGTGGCCTAGAGGTGGGGGAGCCTCCAGGTCAGAGGCCAGAGTCCCCATGTCAGAAGATGGCTTCCCCACAATCAGGCTGGAGCCCGTGGCCATGACAGCAGGGGGCAGGTCTCCAGGCTCCTCCCCTACCCCAGCCACGGCCCCTGCCTTGGCGTTGGGGCAGGGATAGCAGGAAATATGGGGTCTGTGACCTGACGGAAGGTTGGGGCGCTGGGAGGCAGAGAGCCCCTCACCCTCCCAGGGGACGCAGAGATGCAGTGTGGGCCCTCCTTGCCAAGTGTTCTCCAGTGCCAGCTCTGGAGTAGGGGGCAGCTGTTGTGAGGCTCAGGACAAGAGCCCACCTCTGCTGGGAGAGGGCATGTAGCCCACCTCCCCTTCACCACAGAACAGAGAAACTGAGGTGCAAGGGAAACAGGGATGCAGAGGGCAACAGGCCTGCCTCCCGCACCTGGCCAGGCTGGGGTAATGTGGGTATTGGGGTGGTGTCTCACCTGTAGGGGTCTGTGGGGTCTTTGGCGTCACAGACATCAGCGTGGCCATGGCAGACGCAGCGACCGCCCACACTGATGTCCTTGATGCTGTAATAGTACTGCAGCCATGGCCCCATCAGCCCCACGTGGCACAGCCTGTTCACGCCAGTCCCCGGGGCCCCCACAGAGCTCCCCTCTGCCTGGCAATGTCAATCCCTGGGGCCCCCCCTGCCTTGACCCACCCCGAGTCCCTGAAGCCCCCACAGAGCCCTCCCAACCTGACCCACCCTGAGTCCCCAGAACCCCCCAAAAGAGCCCCCCCTACCCTGACCCACCCCAAGTCCCTGGGGCTCCCACAGGGCACGCCCTGACACACCCCGAGTCCCTGGAGCCCCCTGACAGTGCCCCTCCTGCCTTGACCTACCCTGAGTCCCCGGGGCTCCCACAGGCCCCCCCACCCTGACTCGAGTCCCCAGAGCCCCCTCACAGGGACCCCCAACCTGACCCACCCTGAGTCCCCAGAGCCCCCACAGGGCCCCTGCCGCCCGGGGTGGCTGCTCACTCTCCGAGTGACGGTGGGGTCCCGCAGCGCCTTGCCCATGAGGTGGCCCAGCAGGGTGTTGGTCCTCAGGAAGCGCAGGCGGATGTTGGTGGCCTTGGTGAAGTCACGCAGCAGTGGGGAGTAGGAGAAGTTCATGGCGCCTGGGCGCCCGTTCACCAGGGACACCACGATCTGCAGACAGATGAGGTGGGCGAGGTGAGGCGGGGCAGCCGCTGGACCCTGCCCGGCCCCACACGGCCGCCGCACCGCCCGCCATGCCCACCTCGCCGTTCTCTAGCGGTACAATCCGCGAGTACTCAGTGGTGCACACGATGTCGTCATCCCTCGAGACGCGATCCAGGGTCTGTGGCCCGAACCTCTCCAGGCAGTCCCGCTTGGAGGCTGGGGCGAGGAGCAGAAGCTTAGGGGCCCCTGGTCATCTTTGTCCTCTCCCAGGGGGGACTGTTCCCAACTGGCCCCTAGCCTGTGCAGTTTTGGGGGACATTCAGCCAAGGTGCACCCACTGGGAGCATCCCTGTCCTCACCCACAAGACCAGTTGGGATGGGCACATGATCCAAGCCAGCCACCTAGTTGGTGCCAGGATATGAGTCCTTTCCTGGCACAAGGTGCTGCCTGGGCATGAAGCCAGGCCCCAGGAGCTGGGAGAGATTGCTGGCACCTCCAGCCCTGATGTCAGGGGTGTGAGCCAGCAAACCTCCAGCTGCCCTCGGGGACTTTGAGTTTCTGTGGCTTATATCCCACAGTCCAGTCAATGTAGAGGCCGGACCCTCATGACCTGGGGAAAGTCCAGTAATGCAGCCTCCCCAAGGCCCCCTGAAACTCACAGGCAAAGTACTGCCAGGGCTGGTACGTGTGCCCAAAGTCTGTGGAGCGCTCCAGCACCCAGAGGTCTGGCCGAGGGGAGTTGGCGAACTTTATGAGCACATAGGCTACGTGGAAGACCTGTGAAGGCAGAGTGTGTGGTAGGCACCCTCATAGCACCACCCGACCTGGGAAGGCCCACTGGCCCCAGCAGAACTGGAGGCAACCTGGAGCTCCCAGGCAGCACCCTGTCCCCATACGGGCTCTGTGGGTTTTCCCAGGAGGCACAGACAGCCTCAGGCGAGGGAGCTGTGGGGCTCAGGGGACAGACACCCTTGCCCCACTGACCCCAAGGCAGCCCCTAAACACAGGAGAGCACAAGCTCGTTTGTGGGGTCCCCTGGCTACAACCCATCCTTTCCCCATCCCTCCCCTCAGGAGCCCAGGCAGTCACAGGAGCTGGGCTCAGTGGCTGCAGAGCCTGGAGAGGCCAGGACTGGGTGATCTCAATGGGGGGGGCACGTGTCTGTGGGTCCCAGCAGGGGGCTGGGCAAGGAGGATGCCCTGGTGGCCAGCCAAGATGGGTGGCCAGTGTCCCCAGAGCCCAAACAAGCCTATCTCCTCTGACTGTGAAGCGCCCAGTGACTCTACACCCTATCGCCCACTGCCACAGCCACGGGGGCCCACAGGGACAGGGCGGCATGAAGGGGATCCCCAGCCTGGGAGACAGAGGGGAACAGGCCTCTGGAGCTGAGTGGGAGTGGGGGCTGTAGTCAGAATGAAAGGGCCGACCAAGGAGAGGACCAGTTCAGGGCCCCCCCAAAAGCTGGCGTCTGGGCTCCATGGAGACCACGGCAGGGGGACTGGGCACCATCGATCGGCCAGAGGGACAGGCGCTTGGGGGAGAGGGGCTCCAACACCCAAAGGGCCTAGAAGCCTCTGCACCTAGAAGCCTTCTGGGTCAGCCTACGTGTGCAAGGGCGGCCTGTGTTGGGGCCCAGAAGGTGGGGCACTCTGAGGCCATCTCCCTGTCCCCCTGGGGGTAAGAGTAGGCAGTGCGCAGCCTCTGGGGCCAAGGATGGGACTGCACACCAGCCCGGTGCCTGGCCTCAGCCTGTGGTCCCAACACTGATCACATGGATTCCCAGCGAGTGTTAAGCCAGTGCGTCAGCTGGGTGGGGGACCCTGCCCCCAATCTCTCCCTGATAGCTGGCCTGGCTGTGCCCTCGGCCCTGGCTGCATCTTTCCCAGCTTGGGGCAGCGACATAAATATTAACGAGGAAACATGCATCAGGCAGGACAGGAGCAGAGTGGAAGTGGGTGTCCCCACCAGTACTCCGGGAGGCACCGCAATGGTTTGCCCATCCGGTCTGTTGGTCGGACCAGGCCCAGGGGGCTGGAGCAGGGAGGCCCCATCATCTGCACGGGAGTCCAGGCTTGTGGCCCCGGGCCCCAGAGCCCCCTCGGCCACCCTTGGCACAGTCCAGCAGCAGTTCGGACCCTGGCCTGCCCACCGTGGCCTCTCCCCTCTAGCCTGTCCACCGGGCCGCCTGCCCACACAGCTGACCTTTCCCGTTGCTTTGTGCAGTAGGAAAAAATGTCTTTTAAAGCAAAAGCTAAACAAAAGCTGGCCGGGTTATTTTTAAAAGTCTGCTATTTTGGGGCGGGCACGTCTCCAGGACGGCAGCCAGCCCGGCCTCTGGCCGCCGCACCCCCAGCCCCCTGCCCGCCTGAAAGGCCAGGGCTCTGCTCCGGTGACCAAGCCTAGTGGAGGCAGGGCTGGTCCTGGCCTCCCTGGTTGAGTGGCCGTGGGGTGGTCATTCCCCTGCTGGGCACAGGGCAATGACACAGAGACACAGAGGACTGGATGGACGATGAGCGGCTCCTGGGCCATCAGGGGGCCCCAGAAAGGAGGCTCTGCCATCCCTGGACTGGGCAGGGTCCCTAGCAGGGACACTGCAGAGGGCACCCTCAATGAGGGGGGCGGGTCAAAGCCACACAGGCAGGAGAGGAGCTAGAAGACACAGAGCTGACTGTGGACACAGGCGAGGCTGGTGACAAGAGTAGGCTCTGCAGCCCCACAGAGGTCCGCCTCCAGGGAGGTGGGCAGAAGGTGACCGGCTGACCCAGCAGCCTCCTGGGCTGGGGGACCTACACCTTGAAGGGATGAGTGGAGACCAGAACCTCAGCGAGTGTCCCTGGGGAGGGGGCCAGAGCTCACCCCCAGCTCTGCCCTGGCTGGCTCGGGGCTGGAGACCGCGGTGCCGGCAGCACCGCCTGTCCCGAGGGTGGGGAGGCCCTGCAGCCCAGCCCCCGCCTGGCGGATGACATGCATCATCACTGCCTGTGACTCAGGCCCGGCGCCACAGGAGGGAGGGCCTGGAGCCAGTCCTCAGGGATGGGCTGGGGTCCTAGGCTGTGGTTGACTGGAGACAGGAAGCCCCTCTGAGATGCAGGCGTCCAGCAGCTCCCTGACCACTGCCCTCAGACCAAGTGCTGGACACCCCAGGCCTCCTGGGTCCCCCCCCACTCCGTGCTCCCATGGAGCACATCTGAGATCCCTGATAAAAGCCAGCAGGACTGGGCCCCTCACTGGCTCGATACGCCCATCGGCACAACCAGATCGGTACCCCTTGAACAAACCCTTGAACAAACCAGGTCCTACAGAGACCTGGCATCCATCAGGGCGGGCGAAGTGGAAAGCCATGTGCACACACGGGCAAGGCCACCTCCAAGAAGAAAACAGAAACAAAGAAGCAGACAGAGGTCCCAGGGAGCCCCGGCCCTGGCCGGCAGGAACTTGCAGGAAGTGGGCAGGTGTGGGTGGACGCCTCTGGGTGTCCAGGAGCTCGCAGTCAGAGGAGAGGACGGGGGCCTCCCCTCACCTGTGTCCCCAGCAAGTCCTGGAGCTGGGCCAGGGGAACCCGGTGACCCGAACTCTTCAGCAGCTGTCCTCCCAGCCCCTGCCTTAGAGGGGCGGCTCTCAGGCCGGTTAAGGACTCCCCACTCCCTGGCCTGTCCTCCCTGCAGCCAGGCCCAGATGGTCAGCTGGAGCCATAGGAAGTGGAGTTTATTCCAAAGGGGCCCCCAAGGTCTGAAGGAAACTCAAACAGTTTAGTCTCTGCCAAGAGGGTCCTTGTTGAAACCAAAGGGGTTTGTTTAAAACACTGACTGAAAACAGGAAGCCCTGGGGGCTGCAGGGTCCGGGGAGCGTGTGTGAGATGGTGGTGGGCATCCGTGTGCACCCACAAAGTGAGCAAGCAGATGGGCGTGCCAAGGTGGGGGAGGGGGTCCCTGTCTTCTGAGCCCGAGGACCAGTAGAGAGATGGTCTCTGAC